CCTCTCCTCTCTTCCCCTCCCTCCCTTCCTTCCTTCCTTCCTTTTTGTACTGGGGATCAAATTTGGGACCTTGAGCAAAATGGGCTTGGGAACCACTGAGCTCAATTCCCACCTTACTTTTTGACATAGGACCTTTCTTTGTAGTTCAGACTGGCCTTCAATTCACTGTGTGGCTCAGGCTGGCCTTGAAGTCTTGGTAACCCTCCTGCTTCAGCCTCCAAAGTGCTGGGTTTACAGGTGTATGCCACCTCCCACCCCCACCATCACTTTGTCTACCTGTTGGTAAACAGTGTACCCAGTAATTTGTTGATTTGAGGAGAACTTGGAAGTTTAAGGACATTTATGAAGCTGTTTGAGAGTTCCATGAAACTTGGTTGGAAGGTGAAAGGTATAATAGTGAAGATACCAAGAGATCATTTAAAATTTGGGCTGATACTAAATAAGTTAATGCTTTGAGTTGACGTTCTGTAGGAATTCCTTTTAAGAAATCCTATAGAATGTTGTGGTTAACAACGATCTTGATATTAATACTAGGGAATATGTGACATAAATTAGTTTACTTTTTAATAAAATTTATCAGGTTGATATATTTGTACCAGACTTCGTTAAGGGTGGGGAAAAACTAATTTGGAATTAACAGTTGGTAATTCTTTTTAGATGCACATACAAATTGGATTAATGAGGGAGTCTGGAACCGAGTAGCTGGTGAGTTGTATGTTTATTTAAAGCCACATGGTAAGGACTGCACGTTTATTTTGCTTCCTTATTAGATGAATCTCAATCAGGCCCAATTTAAACTGTGTCTTGTCTAGCAGATGGATATTTTCTTGTGGAAAAGCATTTGGAGAGGTTTTTTTTGTTGTTGTTTTGTTTTTTCTTTTGTAGCAGGGATTGAACTCAGGACCTGTGTTTAGAAGGCAGGCGCGGTGCCACAGTGCTAAATCTCTGGCCCCAAAACCCAGACTGACCCTGACTTGACTGGAGAGATTTTTAAACAAATGACTTACACTTCTTAAACTAAGGAAAATTGGGGTCAGAAACATCCTTTCACACCAAACAATGCTGATTTTTCCTGTGCATCTTTGAACCAAATGTTTGGCTTGCTGGTGGTTGTTGATTTGTTCCCCTGCGTTTGTTAGATGCAGAGGTGGTGGGCATTATTATTCCTGGCAGAAGCAGCAGCAGTTCTAGGACGTGTGAACTGCTGATCACCCAGGGATGCGCTGTCTCTGTAATATCTTGCTTGCAGATGCATTTTCTAGCTGACCATGCTATTAAGAGCTGCCATCAGTCACGCAGCCTCCCAGATCCGGCTCTGAGTAAAGGAGGGAGACTCAGGGCACAGAGGCTGGCCAAGCAAGGAGATAAAATTGCAGCAGAGAGAAAGGAGAGAAAGGAGGCGGGGGAGAGGGAGAGTGAGAAGTGTCACCCTGCGTGCCTGGTGGCCGACAGGGGTGCGCGGTCCAGCCCAGGTTTTGCTGGCTGCCGTCTCTGGGAGGCTGCTCTTTCTCTCCTGGCGTCTAGGTCACAGGCATGTGGCAGTGTTTGACCGGCAGCCCGGGCTGAAGGAGCTTAAACTGAGCCCCTCCGCTGCTGGCCGCAGTGGCTGGCCGCTGGCTGGGCAGCCTTGCAACCCAGCTGCGGGCGGGCCCTCCAGCCATTGCCTCCTAGCCGACCTGTCCTGAGGCCGCCCTTCGGGGCCTCCTTTTGTTTGGCAAGTGCCTTTCTAGCCAGAGCCCCGCCCCAGCCCCAGGTCTCTGCGGGTGGGAGTTGCTGGGGCCCTACGCCTGAGGAGGAGGAGGAGGAGGAGAAGGAGGAAAAGGAGGAAAAGGAGGAGGCTGCGGTGGACCTGGCCCGAGGCTCTGTTCCTGTTGCCTGGGAGCACAGGCAAGTGGCCAGGGCCCTTGTGCTGCTAGGGGGACGCGGGTCTTGAGCCAGGAAGTTGGAAAAGTGAGGGTGCAGGAGTACCGGGAGGCGAGTCTTTGGAGGGTTCCTCCTGACCCTAGAAAGATGCACTCCAGTGTTGGGAAGGATGATGGCTTTCCAGGAACAGGGAGTGAGCATTCGTTGTGTCCCATTACATTTCTGTTGGCACTCCTCGTTTTTAGTTGCCCTAAACTCTGGAAATTCGAGTTACATAAACCGATTGGAAAAGTCTTTAAAAATAAGGGCCAGAGAAAGCGTTAAAATCGAGTGTGTGTGTGTATATGTGATCCGTCTATATGTCTGTACCTTTTGTATTCTTGTGAAAGGAAAACCTGTTTGAAGATGAGCCATGTATAATAGAAAAGTAGTTATTTGCTTTTCAATTTAACTGCTTACTGTGAAGTTAATTTAAGTTTAAAAATAAAATGAATTTGATGGGCTTGTCTATAATGTCAGGATACTCAAGTGCCAAATATACTTTGCTTTCTGGACCAAAATATTTTTGGGGGAGAAATACAAATCTTGAAGATTGCTTCAAGTTTCAATTTTAAATTGCTTTTTGGTGTGAGGCGGTGGCTTCCCTGCCCCCCACCTCTCATTTATTCTTCTGTTCTCTGAAGCCCTGGCAGACCTGCTTGACCACTTTTGTTTGCTGAGAAAAACTGCCAACAGGTTACTTTGTCTTACTCAGCCTCTAAGCTTCCCTGGCATGCTAACACCCCTGCACTCTGTGGGGCATTGTTGGCAGGAGGCCACCTCCCAGCCATATGGAAAATCTGAAAAGTGGTATGTGAGTGGGCATGGGGTCAACGGAGAGATACATTTTTCCTTTGAAATTGCAGGCCTGAGTGCTTTAAGATTGAGACGTTTGAGTAAATGTTGAATTGTGTGCCAAGAGTACTATATTGAGTTCTGCCTCTTTTCCTTTTTTTCCTCCCCTGGTCACTCCAAATTTAAAGAAAGGAGGCATGAATTGAAACCGCACACACGGGAGCAATATCCTACATCAGCTCCTTGTTTTGTGGACAGTTATTTCCAGAAGCATAACCAACTATATTTTATTTTTAAGCATGTGTGGATTTGGGTCCTAACAGGCAGTAACCTTTCTGAATATTTACATTGCCTAATAAAATAACAGGGTAGATTTTTAGATGCTTAACAGCAACTTCAAAATAGCATGTGGCATTAGTTAGGAACTTGGATTTGTTTTTTCCCTACTATGCGCTATAGTAGTGCTTATACTGTTTTATGAAGATCTCTGGGACCAGTGAAGGGTGGTTGTCAGTCCAGAGTCCTTGAGCGCTCCTTGTGCTCTGGCAGGCCTGGGCGCTTGGCAGGCTGCTCTTGAGATGTTACTTGATCTCATTGCATGATAGAATTGATTAAGATTACACTTTCTCTCCCTGTGGCCTTTAGAAGTGATGCATCCACCAGAATTGTTCAATAACCTACATTCATTCACTCTAAGGTTGCCAGATAAAAGGCCTTTTAGATTTTTGTGTTATTTTGTGGTTTTGAAATTATGAATTATGAAATTATGAATTGGTGTAATGTAGCAGTACCACTTCTTTGTGTGTTTTTATAGCCTATAGGGCATGTTCTAACCTATACGGTTGTGATTATTTCTGAAATATCTGAATGTATGTGTGTGCCACGTGTATCTACAGGCATTCAGCTGTGTGCTGATTTATTTTTTTTTTACATTGTGGGCTAGGAGTGGGTGGATGCGAGGGTGTTAGTGTGTCCGTAACGTGGAATTGCCTGTGTGCTCTGCAGACGAGACTTACATTTTAATTAGTGCAACTGTGTACAGCTGTTAGGTCAGACTGCATTGGCTGCTTCTGCAGGGTGGTTTTATCTTACACCGGAGGTTTTATGGATTTGGCTGGCTATGTTTCTTAATCCCTCTCCCATTGCCACCGTGCTTGCTTTTAAGCAAATGGTAATAGTACAAGACAAGCTTTTGTTACTCATGTAATAATAGTTTACTTGTGAGAGATTTATTTTAAGTTTGTGGAAGTTGAGGAACCATGTAACTCATTAATAGGTACTACATTTAAATGCTTTTCTAAGGTCACAGGGTTTTGCTTGCCGTTGTGTATTTCAAGAAGCCAACGGAACCATCCATGTTATAAATAGGAAGCCAGTATTTTCTTTTAAAGGGGATGAGGAGTTCTTTGTGTCTTAGTCTAGGGTGAGTTTGTAAAACTCAAATGTTAGCATAAATGGCGATAACATGGCTAGAACACCCCTACCCCTTGTCTTTCCCACTTTTTACACTGTATGGAAGGGACCGAGAAAGACATTGACTCATAATTTGGCCATGGAATGGATGAACAATAGAAGGGTTTAGAAATCTATTCAGGGGCAGGTATTGTATCCAGATTTAAATTTTAAAATTCATCATCGGCTCCCAGTTATTAGAAAATGCTAATTTTCTAGTTTGGTAGATTCGGATCTTTGAGTCTGGGTCTCTAACAGAGTAAGACATTGCAGGCCATAAAGCAGATTGTGACACGAATGACCTCCTTTTTCAGTGGACAGATCTCTATGCTGTCTGCTTTCTCTTGAGGGTGATACAGCTGTCTAGGGCTGTTGTCACCATCAGGGGAGTCTAAGATGGTGCAGTACCATATTTTAGAAGGAGCAAAAGTAAGAAAAACAAAATAGATTGACACCTGCTCTTTGTGAGGCTCATGTGTTGTCTTTTTAGTCATCTTTAGTGGTATCTTTATAAAGCTGTTGGGTACTGGAGTGTGGTGGGTGGACAGTGAGTGACTCAGATGAAGAAATTATTTTTTAACTCATTAGAGAAATGGATCCTTAACTTGGAATGAGGAAATGGAATACAGCATTCTCTAGAAATGTCTTAATTTCAGTAAAACTTGTCTAGAAAATATTTTCACTAAAGGCTATTAAAAGATTTAGATTGATACCAAAACATTGCTGAATTAAAGTGAAAATAGAAGGAATTGAAAGAAGTTATCCTACATCCTACCCAAGTGGATTACTTTAAGAGCTCATTTGTAAGTACTTTTTCATTGTTGAGACTTGTTTCTTTTGATTTCAAATTTTAATGAGTAGGGACTTAGACTTGCCCTCTAAAATTTAATTAACCCCTCATATGATCTACTTATTTATTTGTATCAAAACTAGATAACAATTGGCAATTAATGAGCAGGAAAGTTAAGCTTAAATTTACTAAAATAAAAGTTTTTGGGGTGCTACTGGTATTAAAGCCAGGGCTTGAAGCATGCTAGTTAAGTGCTCAACCACTGAGCTAGTTGAGTTTTTAGTAACTGCCACTGGCAGCTCTGTTGGTTAATCATTTATTCAGGTTAGCATGCTGGTCAGTATTGGTGTGTGACTTCTCTTCCCAGATTTTACTAGTTACTGTTGGACCTGGGATGTTGCTTAGCCTATGTGAGTATTGCCTTAATATGGGAAAATGTTGAAAAGGTCTAGAGCGGTTTGTTAAGTCTTAGTCCATTTTCTGTTGCTATTACAGAATACTGCACACTGGATAATTCATAACAGTAGAAATTTTCTTGGCTCAGTTCTAGAGGTTGAGCAGTCCAACAGCATGTGCTGTGTGATGTGTAAGGGCCTTTTTACTTTGTTATCCCATACTGGAAGGAGAAGGGCAGGAGCGTGAGAGACCACAAGGGGCCACTCAAGTGCACCAAACCCTGCCTTGGAGATACACAATCTCCTCATGCACAGCTTCATTAACTTTTATTAGACTCCACTCCTCAGTACTGTTGGGGTGGTGATTGTTT